CTTAGTGAGTAGATATTCATAATAATTGTTTTATTAGTATTGTTAATGATAGATATTAGTGATTTTTGATTGGTGTGGGAAAAAGCTGCTGTCTTGTCAGGACGCTGGGACTCTGTAGCGATTATGCTGGGAATCAGCTACAAAAAGTTATATGAGATTGAATCAGAGACAAAGACGGCCAGAGGTTGTCTACAGAAAGTATTTGATTGTTGGTTAAGTAGGAACTATGACTATAAGAGTCATGGTGTCCCTACATTAAGAATGCTGTGTAACTCCATTAAAAGTAATAGTGGAGGAGCTGATCCAGCTCTAGCTGATGAAATAGCAAAAGAATATACCATTAATGTTACTAGTAGTGGAGAGGCTACTACATCACTAGCTCATATTTCATCTTCTAAAGGTAAGTTTAACAATCATTTAATAATATTTATTTAAAATAATTATTTTATTTATTTATTATTTTAGAAGCTACTCCAACTGTTGAGCTACCAGTTCCTACTTCACCTCAAGCTGAGTCTTCAGTTGTTTACGTTAAGAAGAAATCAATTGAATATGTACCAGAAAACCTGAAACGAATGATTGGAGATCTACAAGAAGTTTACCTTGATAATATGCGTTTTACTAAGGAATCATTTCGTTCTATTGATGTCTCAGAAGTTGTCGATTTCATTCAAGATTATATTGCACTTTTACTCAGTCCAAGTTTTCGTAAAAGCCAAATCATTGATTCAATTGAAAAAGAGTTTGACCATGTTAAAACGATGAATCAGCTTTTTAAAGCATTACGAAAGTATGTCTCATGGTTCAATTTCGAACTTGTCGTCAAGTTAGTCAATACTTTCATTACTGATGAGAGAGATTTACAGATGAAGTGGTCTACATATCGAGAGAAATTAAAAGATTATTTTAAAAATAACAATACTCAAGCAGTTCAAATTGCAGACTCAATTGAGTTTGGTCTTTCTGATGTTCCAGGCACTAAAGTAATGATTGCTAAGGTTGCCAGAGACGACTACACATTAAATGATTTATATTTCTTTCACAAGCTAATCGCTGATGCACTTGAAGTTCCTCAATATAAATTCTACTTTTGTACAATTGATGATGGCTGCATGGAATTAAAATATTCCATTCCTGATTTTCTTTATTCTGTTCTCTTTCCATTAACCAATCAACAGTGTCATTCATTGGCTGAGATTGGAATCATAAAAATTACTTGTCATGAATATGTACAAGAAATGAAGCAGGTATGTTAATTATTAATTATATAATTAAATTATAATTAATTAATTATAATTAAATTAAATAATTATAATTATTTTTTTATAATTATAGTTACCAGAAAATGAATTAAAGAAGTTTCATGATTCTCCTATTGGTAATTATTATTATTATTAACTTTATTAATGATATATTATATAGATATTTATGATCCTCTCTGGTATGAGAATACCAGCACTCCATTGAATGAAGCATGTTGGAGAGGATTAAAAGATGAAGTACAACGATTGATTGACAAGACTGGCCTTCAGGAAAGAGATAAAAATGGATGGAGTCCACCATTAGCTGCTTCATATGGTGGCCACATTGATGTCCTCTGTCTCCTCATTGATGTTTATCATTGCGATCCTTCACAAGGTGATGATGATGGTGTTATTAGTTTACACATGGCCTCATATAAAGGCCATCTCAATATTGCACAGTATCTAGTTAATGAATGTCACGTTGATCCAGACATAGCAGATAGCTCTGGTAACACAGGATTGCTTTACTCAGCACTGG